TGTTCTTGTCTTGTTAGCTTGATGTTGCTGTTTCTCTTGTGTTATCGCGATCGCAGCTTGGGCCCACTCTGTTGCGTCTTGGAGTCTTTTAAGGAAGCCTTCTGCCAGTGCTTCGCCGTCTCTCTTTGGTCGGTCCTGAATAGTTCGATCCTCTACCAGCTGAATGGGTTCATTGTGATATCCGTGCATAAAATAGAAGGGGCTTAGGCCAGTAGATGAGGCCTCGCGATTGTTGATTGCTCCCATAACGATAGGTAAAAGTGCTAGCCAATTTTCTTGCGTGTAGGTGGCCCAGATTCGAATCATCTTCTCAATCTCTTGGTTCATTCGCTCTGTTGCACCATCGGTTTGCGGATGATAGGCAGTCGACAGGCGTTGCTCAACGCTGAGGAGTTTACAGAAATGCCTCCAAAGATCGCTGACGAATTGTGGTCCTCTATCGCTCGTAATTGCCGTTGGAATACCATGAATAGGGTAATGCCGTTCTAAAAGCCGTTGTGCTACTGCTTCTGCCGAGATATCGTGCATGCCTTCCAGTTCAACTCCCTTTGTCAGCCGATCAGTGACCACCATGCAGTTCGTTGCGTCATCGCGTCCAGATGGCGGCAAGTCCGTAATAAAATCGATTGAAAGTTCTCCCCATATACGTTCTGGGATCGGTAGCGGTTTAAGGAGGCCCTTCTTTGTCTCTCTCCATATCGTATTCCTCCCGCAAATCTCGCAGTTACGGACAAAGCGTCGCACGTCGCTTGCTACACCTGACCAGAAGAACTGCCTTGATAAGATTGAGTAGGTAAGATCTCGTCCAGGATGGCCGGTGATATGCGAGTCGTGAATATTTTGAATAATTCGTGTGCGAAGTGGTTCGCAGTCAGGGATCCATATCCGGTCTCGAAATCGCAACAGGCCTCTCTCGTCTAGGGTGCATTCTGCTATACTCACTGACTTCTCCTTCTGAAGTTTGGTAGGGAGGTTCCGCTCCTTGTTTGCTACCAGCGTAGTGAGCTCCTGATAAAGCTTATCCTCTTGGCGGCTTCGGTGCCAGAGATTTTGCATGTCCTGGTCCTCAAACATGCGTATCTCTTCTGTGAAGTCAATCTCCTCGGACGACAGGGACTGGATTTGAACACTCTGCAAGTGCTTGCTCTGGAAAAGACGGATAAATCGAGACCGTATTCGTTCATCGTCGTAGTTGGCGGGTAGGTCTTGTTCTCGTCGTGACAGGGCGTCAGGTTTTCCCATAGTCTTTCCAGGTTTCCATTCCAGGGAGAAGTCGAATCGTGAGAGAAACTCTGACCAACGTACTTGTCTTTCAGACAGCTGTCGTTCGCGGTAGAAGTATTGAAGGTTCTTGTGGTCCGTCAGAACTGTGAACTTCCTAACCATACGTAGTTCAGGAGCCCATGCTTCTAAGCAACGAACAATAGCTAGAAGCTCCTTGTCATGAATTGGATAATTGGCCTCTGTTGGTGAGTGCTTCTTTGAGTAGTAGGCAACGGGTTGCCAGTTGTTGTTCTTGTCCTTCTGCAGCAATAGGCCGCCAGTTGCATGTCCTGAGGAGTCGGCTTCTACCAAGGTGTCCTTCTCTGGATCAAAATGGCCGAGTATTGGTGCTGTAATGAGAAGTTCCTTAATCGTTTCAAATGCTTGATTGCAAGCCTCGTCCCAATGAAAAACCATCTCTTTCTTAGTTAGGTTGATAAGCGGTTCAGCAATGTCCGAGAAGTTTGGTATAAAAACTCGGTAAAAGTTGGCAAAACCAATAAATGCTCGGATAGCCTTAACTGACGTTGGTGTAGCCCATTCGCGGATTGCGATAATCTTTTCAGGATCAACTCGAATGCCCACTTCTGCTTCCACAATGTACCCGAGGTATTTGACTCGTTTAGTCTCGAACTCGCACTTGTCGATATCAATCTGCAGTCCAGCGTCTATAAGGCGTTGAAGAACCTTTCCAACCTTCTCTCTGTGATCCTGAAGCGATCCTGACGAGTAGATTAAGATGTCGTCAACGTAGGCTGAAACAAAGTCGTCAAGGTAATCCTGTAGAACACCATTTACGTAGCGTTGAAATGCGGCTGGTGCTCCTGTTAGTCCGAAGGGAGCAACCCGCCATTCGAATAGGCCGTATCTTGTTCGGAAAGCTGTCTTCCATTCTTCTCCTTTGGCCACACGGATCTTGTGGAAGGCTGCGATAACGTCAAGTTTTGTGAACCATTTAGCTTTAGCTACATTTCTCAGTGTTTCTGTGAATAGAGGCAGAGGGTAACGGTCCTTCCTGGTGATGTTGTTCAAGCCTCGGTAGTCAACGCAAAATCGGATGCCCCCTCCTGGCTTTTTGACCATCAGGACGGGTGCAGCTGCGGGAGAGTTACTTGCGCGGATAAAATCCTTGTCTAACAGCTCGGTGAGAGTTTTCCTAAGCACTAGTAACTCTTCTCGGCTCATGCCGTAGAGCGGACCCCATGGAATGGTCTTCTCGTTTCCGTCTTGATCCTTTTCAATCTCAATGTGGAGATCAACGCCTTTACGATGTGGGGGAAGTTTCTCAGCTAGGAAATGGTCGAAAGCCTTCAGCCATTGGTGGTACTGGGGTGGGAGCTTCGTCTTTGGATCGGATCGTTTGCGCGGTTTCAAAGCTTTCTCAATGTCGGCGATGGAAACAGCGAACAGTCCAGTGTCGAGCGCAATACCGTCTCCTTTGTTCTTCCTACGGCTTCTTCTCACCTCCGCCATGAATGCGGAAGCCATCACCTGAGTAGCCTTCATTAGTGGTGGCTTGTATGACGCTTTCTTGTGGTTCCATGCGCGGATGTTTGACGCGCCGATATCTAGGCAGCCTTGTTTGGCCGAAATTGTGACGTCGGCATCTTCTAACCAGGGCTTTCCTAGGATCACGTCGTAAGTTAGGCCAGGTACAACGTAGAAGAAGACGCGTTTCTGCTGGTGGCCGTCTATGTCTATCGAGGCGTAAGTAACTGTATCTAGGACAGTACTTGGTTCTGCGTTCTTCCCAGCTGCTTCCTCTAGCTGACGCGGGGCTATCTTGATTGATGGCAGTCTCAGAGATCGAAAGAGTTGTTCATTAATGGCAGAATAGCAAAGGCAACCTGAGTCAACAAGTCCAGTGACAAAGTCAGTTCCATTAAGTCTAACGTCCAGTACAAAGGGATCGCTATCCATCTTTTGCTTTCCGGTCTCTTTCCATTCTTTCTGAGCTGCCGCGTGTTCCTATTGCTCTGCTTCGGAGTCTTCTGGATCTTCCTCCTCTACAGCTGCCTTGGTGACCACAGTACTCTTTGCTGTCTTGACGCTAACGTGAGTTGGTCGTAGAGCGGCTGCTAACGGGCATGTAGCTATTCGGCAATTGTTGCGGCCGCATCGGAGGCAGCGTCGTTCCTGGCGTCGAGCATCGATTTCCTCTTGGTTGACCCATTTTGCTCGTTTTCCAATAAGTTCTCGGTCTTCGGGACGCCTAGATGGATATCCATTCATGTTGGTCTTGCCGCGGAGGCCGACAGCGTTCACTTGGGTAGTTGTAGGCTGCGTAGGTTCCCATTCCATCATGTCTTCAGGGGAAACTGCTGTGAGCGTGGCATTATTTGATTTTGCTGGTGGTTCATAGGTTAGTGCATTTTCAGCAGTTCGGCTACCGTAACGGCGGGTTGTTTTCGTCCATTGGCCGAACAACTCCATGTCGTTGCTAAGATCTACACACTTCTGAGCGAACCTTGCGTATATGCTTGTTTCTGCTCCTGATGTACCAACAAGCCTATCCTTTATCCTACCACTTAATGCATTGCGTAAGTAGGATATCTTCGTATGCTCAGGCCAGCTTTCTGCGTCAGCGTTGGCCATCTCTTTCTCAAACCGTGGATAGAAGGAAATAAACGTCTCGTCGTCCTTCTGGCGTATAGAGTAGAGGTTCTGAATGGCTTTCTCCTTCCGATTTCGTTCGCCGTAGAGGAGTTCAAGGCGGTCAAGCAGCTTGAAAGGGTTTGGCGATTCTTCTTTAACTTGTATCTCGTAGTATGTTGTAACGTTGGTTTTCGCTGCCCCATCAAGACGCATGTAGACGTAGCGTAGCTGAGCTTTTAGGCTTCCAATAGCTTGCGCGTCTTCTTCGATCTTGCCCTCCATCTCTAGCTTCCATCCTCGCCATTGTGATTTGTTTCCACCAAACGTAGGCGGGTGGGGTAAGCTGTGCCGCGGCTTTGGGGTTATAGGCACAGATGTGTTCGAAGTCTCGGAGGTTGGCGTTGGATCAGTGGTGGCGTCTGTATTGTGACCAGGCGTTTGAGGTAGCTCGTGCGATGGTGCTTCCAGCCTCTCCATCCTAGTGCTCATGTCTTCAAGTCTCTGTAGTAGCGACTGTAACAGCTGGTTCGAATCGTTCGTCGTCATGTCAGTATCCCCGGGGGAGCTCATTATAGCGGTGCTTTGGTTGCTGCGTGTTCTGCGTGTTCTGCGTGTTCTGCGTATTCTGCGTGTTCTTCTTGATCTTGACTGTATGTGAACGGTCTGTAGGGACTGTATTCCAGCTACCTAGTCCAGATGCTATTTACAGTCAAGATGAAGAAAGAAGGTAAGACGCAAGCGGCGAGCCTGCTTTGTTTGGGTTGGCGCACGGCCCTCACGTTGCCGGGGAAGCGACTAGGCTAGCAGCCTAGTCATGTGACTCGAGGCTCAGCCCGTTACACGTTGATTAAGTCTCTAATCTGGAGTGGTGTGTGGGACGTAGGCTGGGTAAGCGTAAGGACTGCTTGGTAGTAGCTTGCTGGCTTTTTGTTTGTCTTCTTTTTTGTAGACACTGTAGTCCATGTGTTTCCGTTGTTCTGGGCGGCTACGCTAGCGTATGATGTCTTGTTTTGTTAGGTGTTTTGGGTGTTTTGGGTGTTTTGGATGTTCTGGGTGTTCTGGTTGTTTGGTTTTTCTTGGTTGTTTGGGTTTTGTGGTCTAGTTGTGGCATTAACAGCTTTCTTTAGTGTCTTTGTAGCTTGTTAGGAGGCGCTTGTAAGCGTTGCAGTCTGGCACGCAAGCTGTGCTGTAAACTTCTCAGTCATTTGCTGCGTAACCCTGCCTAGTTCCGTAAAGTCTCTAAAGACGTCCAGTAGTTGTAGTAGTTTGTTTTGGGATAGATAGGATTCGGCCATAGTAGATGCTTGTAGAATTAGGTCCCTTGCCCAGAAGATTGCTTGGGTTGAGTCCTTTGCTCTTGGTTTCTTTTCTTGGCTGTTCTAGAATGGGTTTCTCTCTCTTGTAGTTATCTCTGGGGAGAATGCCGCTGGTCTTTTATTTAGTGGTGGCTGAATAATTAACCTTGGTGTTTCTTGGGTGGTCTGCTCGATGGGTGTTGTTGGGTTGTCTTGGTGCCTTTCTTCGGTCTCCATTTCGTCTTCCAGTATGCTTGGGGTCCGGAGGTCTTCTGGTAGCTGGACTACGATAGTGTCGCTATCTGGGGCCATTTTAGCCTCTCTGTTGTCTTGTTGTTGTTGTTTCTTGGCTTGGTCTGTGCGTTTGCTTCTGAAAGTTCGGACGCGTCGCGTTTGGGGTACTAGACTCCTTGTATCTCCACAACCACGCGGCTGCACGGCTTGGGAGTAGTCGGAATCTATTTCTTTCGATGGATATAGTTGGTTTCTGATGGAGTTTCACGTGTTCGGAAAAACTCGAAGTTGTAATTACTGTTAAACATCTACTTGTCTAGGTTAACATAGCGTAATATATGTGTATGGGGTAGAAGTTAAAGACATCAAATTCCTAGCTTATGTTCCGCAGGAAAATACCACTCTTTATCCAAAGCGTAGTGATCATTGTTGAACTATACTGATATACTAGTCAGCCACGAGTATATTATTGTCGGGACTGTGAAGGTCGTCCGAAGATGATCTTGGGTTGGTTCTCGGGGATAGAGTGATGCGATGGACACGAGGGTGTATAGCACGATTGGTAGATCGATGTAATATACGGGGAGTTGAGAATCAAGTACTAATCCTTAGATTTCGAAGTTGAACACAATGAGCTATAGGAGCTCATTGCCTAATGCTATATACCTATGGTGCTCGCTGTCCTCGCTCAGAGGAGTCCGAGGATTCCTCGGTGGCTGACGCGCGAGGAGCACTCCTCGGTGGCGTATGTACGAGGGGTGTGCCAAGACTTTTCCTCGTGCATGCCAAGCCGAGGAGGTCACGTGATTAAGTTCCCGTGTCACATATGGAGGGGTCAGCTATCCCGCCGACGCTCCTTAACTTAACCGCCGTGCCCCTTCCCACAGGTTCGTAACACCATCCCCTTCCTTCCTAAGCTTGTCCTCAAGCTTGTCCGTGCGCCTGTGTCTGACGATGTCCGTCCCCAGGTCTAAAGAACATCTTCGCCTTGCCCTTGAGATTCGTCGAAACGGCCTCCTTGCGCCCGTATCCTGCGATTACTGTTTTGCGAATAACCGTCAGTGCGTCGCGATGCCCGAAGTCGATGGCAAGCGTTTGAAGTGTTCGGAGTGTACTCGTCTAGGACATCCATGTGTAAACATGTCGTGGGTGTCCCTAGATAAGACTCGTGAAGAGTATAAAAAGAAGGTGGAGGAGGATGAGCAGTTGTTGGCTCAGGTGATTTCGCGCTTGATGCGAAATAAGAAGATTTTGAAGCAGGCCGAAGAGCGCGCTGCTAAGAAGGCGATATGTTTGGCGAATACCTTGCGCGATGGTGGTGATGACGTGGATGCGCAAGAGTCGATGAATTGCCCCGTGGCGGATGCCTTGGTGGGGTTTTCGCCGATGATGTGGGAAACCCTTGGTTCCCTAGATGCGCTCGCGTCGCCCGCGAATCCTGGCGATGCTCCCGTTTTTTCCTCTAGCTGAGGCTGTCTGGTATGTCTTTTTCTTATATTCTTGAAGTAGTTGTCGGCAGTTTGTGAGGTTGGTGTCTGGTTCCCATGTGTTTTCGCTGTCTGGGTATCCTAACCATTTGACTAGATATTCGGTGCCGTTGTCCACAACTCTGTGTGTGACAATGTTTTCGACTTCAAATTCGTTTTCTTCTTCCGTTTCGTAGTGGAAGGTTTTCTGTAATGGCGTATCTGGGTGTGCTGGTTCTAAGAGGCTTACATGGAATCTGGGATGTATTCTAGCGTCTGGTGGAAGATCGAGTGTGTACGTAACTGGTCCTTTTCGGTTGAGAATCAAAAATGGTCCGACTTTGACGTTGTCGAGTCCTTTGCTTGGTCGCTTCGTGCGAAGATTCTTCGTGCGTAGATAAACTTTATCCCCCTTCTTTAGCTGAGGTGCCATTTTTCGTTTCTTGTTGACATATGAAATGCTTTGACGTTGTGCTGTCTCGAGTTTGCTCTGTAGCAACTCATGTACTGCCTTCAGCTCCTCGGCTGTGGCGATAGCTGCTTCCGTTTTCTGGCTCGGAAGTGTGCGTGTAAAGAGATTTGGGTGTCTCCCGTGGTTTGCATAGAACGGAGTCTGTCCTGTAGACTCTGAAAGCTTGTTATTGTATGCCATTTGTGCCATAGGCAGAAGCGAAACCCAGTTGGTTTGCTGATGATTGACGTATATCCTGAGATATGCTTTCATGGTTCTGTTCGTTCTTTCTGTCTGTCCGTCTGTCTGCGGGTGAAACGCTGTCGATAGCTTGCGTTTTGTACCAATCGCGGCCAAAAGTGTTGTCCAAAAGTTTGAAGTGAAGAGCTTGTCTCTGTCGCTTATAATTGACTTTGGGATGCCGTGATGTCTGATGATTCGATCGTTGATGATGTGAGCCAGGTGTACTGCCGTGAAATCGTTTCTAAACGGGATGTACTCTGCTTGTTTTGTGAATCGATCGATTACAACGAGTATTGCGTTGTATCCTATGTTTGTCGCTGGGTCTCTTGAGACTGGTAAACCTGTGACAAAGTCCATAGAGATGTCTGCCCAAGGTTCTGTGGGTAGCTCTAATGCTTGCATCTCGCCGTAAGGTGCGTGCGTGTCGTGTTTGTTCTTCTGACAGTCTGCACATTTTGCGATAAATGAGGTAACCTTTTCCTTCATTCCTGGGAACTCGTAGTTGCGTCTGATGAGTTCCATTGTTCTGGTAATGCCCGGGTGACCGTGTACAGGGTCGTCGTGGTGTTGCTGAATAATTGCTTCCTGCAATTCTTCCGGTACATTGTTTCCGATGTGGAGGATGGCGTTCAGCGTTTTTGCTGGTCCTAGCGATCCGTCTTCGTTAACCCTGAGTATCGCGGTGTCGATGACTTCCTTGGTGCCTGCGATATCTGGTCTACGGCTGAGAGCGTCTGCTCTACCGTTTTCTTTTCCTGGTGTGTACACAATCTTGAACTTGTATTGTCCTAGTAGTTCTGACCATCTTACTTGTCTGCGGTTGAGTACTTTGGTAGTCGTAAAGTTCACTAGATTTTTGTGATCTGTGTATATCGTAAGTTCCGAGCAGCTTTCTGCGTATACTCTCCAGTGTTGTAAGCATGCGACAATAGCTAGTAGCTCCTTGTCGTGAACGTCGTATCGTTCTTCTGGTCCTGAGAATTTGCGAGAGTAGTAGGCGATGGGGTGCCATTTGCCTTCGTGCAATTGACTTGCGCATCCGCCTAGCGCGAGATCCGATGCGTCGGTCTCAAAGCGTAATGGGTGTCCTGCTTGGAATATTCGAAAACATGGTGGTTCTGTGCTTGCTTTCTTAAGCGTTTGGAATGCGTTCTCTGCTTCCTTGCTCCACTTAAAGAGTACGTCCTTTCTTGTGAGTTTTGTCAAAGGGATGGCAATGTTTGAGAAGTCCTTGATGAACTGTCGGTTGAAGTTCAAGAATCCTAAGAAGGACTGTATCTGTACAACTGTTGTCGGTGTTGGCCAATCCTTAATAACCTGAATCTTTTCTTCGCTCATTTGTACTCCGTCCGCTCCTACTACATAGCCTAAGAAGTTGACCTTAGTCTTGTGAAATTCACACTTCTCTGGTTTGAGTCGGAGGTTGAACTGCTCAAGGGCCCTTAGTACCGTCTTGACATGTTCAACATGGTCCTCTAAAGTCTCGGAGTAGACGAGAATGTCGTCTAGATAAGCTATGACAAAGATGTCTAGATGTGCTCTTAACACATTGTTGATGAGTTCCTGGAACGTTGCTGGGGCGTTCGTGAGTCCAAACGGCATAACTGTGTATTCGTAGTGTCCGTATCTTGATCGGAACGCCGTTTTCCACTCTTCACCTTTCGCTATGCGAATTAGGTGGTATCCATCTCGAAGATCTAATGCTGTAAAGATCTCTGCGCGAGATAATCGATCCCGTAATTCTGTAATATTCGGTAGGGGGTATCGATTCTTGATTGTGATGTCGTTGAGCTTGCGATAGTCTACACATAGTCGTAGTTTTCCGTCTTTCTTCGGGACAAACATGATTGGATATCCTGCTGGTGACTTCGATGGTCGGATATATTTCTTTGCTAGACTTGTCTTGATGTAGTCGCGTAACGTGCTCAATTCTTTTTCCGATAGTCCGTATATTGGGCCGAAAGTCGGTTTCTTTCCTTCCTGTAAGACAATCTTGTGGTCCCAGGGTTGGTGTTTTGGCAATGCTTGTTCATCTGCCACTTCCCGGAATAGATGTTCGAATTCTTTGTATTCTGCGGGGATCTCAGGAGTTGCGCGTTTCTCCAAAACTCTAGTCTGTCGACCCGGTGGCTCCGTTCCGGCGTCTGCTGAGTCGGACCCTTGTTTCTTAAGGCCGTCCTTTGTCGAGGCTCGCTTTTTCTTTGCGATGTTATTCAGTTTCCTCTCATCTACCATCGTACTCTGACAATGCGTAGGCTGGCTTGTGGTTGCGTCCGTTCCACAGCACTCAAATGAGAACATCTTCGACTTCCAGTCGATCCGTGGGTTGTGTTCTCGTAACCATGGAAGTCCTAATATGATGTCGTGGGTAGCTAGTCCGAAGACATCTAGGTCTATCTTCTCTTGGTGTCCTTGGATGTTGAGCGTCACTTGTCTGACCTCGTGGGTGATCTCTTGTTCACCTGGCATTGGCTCTCCGTTGGCCACATGTAGTGGGTAAGCTTCTTGTTTCCGTAGTGGCTTCAGTCCGGCTGAAGACGCTGCGTGCGCTGAAACGTAGTTGGCTTGTGATCCCGAATCTACTAGTGCCTTCATCCACCTCCCTTCAAGCTTCACCTGAAGCTTGATGAGGTCTAAGGAGTTTACTGAGTTAATCTCCTTGCCGGGCCGCTCTGGGCCGGGTGCTGGCCTAAAAAAGCCTGATTTCCAAATCCATGGAATCCTTTGGCTATCGCATGAAGGTCGCATTCTTTGCTAAGGCACGTTTGCCAGTTGGGTTGTTGACATTCCCAAGCGTCTCCTTCATCGTATTCTTTTAGCCATACTGTTTGCATCTGATCAATTTCTTCGGGGTTGTCGTGACCTGGGAAGTATGTCTTTTCCCTTTTGTCCCATAAATGTATTGGGCATAGGTCGTT